AAGACCTGCTCCACCGCGAATACAATGAGTGGTTGGCGGCAGAAGGACGCAGACTTACGCCAACTGGGCGGGTGAAGAGAGCCTCACTGACGGCTGTCTGCAATTCGGTGCTTTTGGCATGGGCAGCTGTGCCACGCGATGCCGTTCTCGAAGTGCGGGATTTCGCTGAACGACGATGTGCTGTGGGACCGCAGCAGTGATGACGAGGACGAAGCCACCACTAGTGAGGACAATAGTACAGCTAGTGAGGACAAGTAGTTCAGCGACTCGCGAGTGTGACTGGCAAGTAGTCCAGCGCCTAATAAATTTTCTCTGTGGATTACATCTGTGGGCACGATTTTCTTTTCTTCGTTTTCCCTGTATGCAATATGGGGCAGCCACCTACATTCTAGTCAACTTACAATCGTGTAAATACACTATGACGAATGGAACAAGCCCGAAAGGATTGACGATGTTGCGTCAACTAAGATCAGCTTTGGACAGCGTCCACTCACAACCATTAGCTTTGCGAAAGGTTGTGAACGAGAAAGGTTTGCCCTGGTTACGGTGATTTCACCTGCAGCTTCACACTGGAACATCCATGCTGAAAACCGCTGTAGTCGGTTCTTGTAGTGTACCGGTATACACCAGGTCTAGCTGCAAGATGGCATGCTTGGAAAACAGCATGTCAACCACATCCACCAGGCTCCATCCAAACTTAAAGCAATGCTCACAATGTTCACTGATGAGGGAAGAAGTTGCATCAACAAAGATGACGCAAGTTGAAGCCTCGAGGCTAGCTTGAGAACGAGGAACATCGTTCAACTGGTTCTGTGTAAGCCACGGATGGTTTTCTCGGTTCATGAATGACAAGGATTTTCTATACTCCCCTGCATCTCAAGATGCCATTGAATACGACCGTGAGGAGGAAAAGTTTTAAGTAGGAGAGTATTCTGAATGGCGGGAGGAGAAAGCCGCACTGCACAGTGATGTGTTGTTCAGACAACACCACTAAACCGTAGTAGTCTTCCTCGATTTTGCGGACTCAAATAGGGAGCAGTGGGTCTGATGATGAAGCCGAATCATCATATTTCAGTTCCAGTAACTGTACTTCACCACATTGAAAAACTGCTTAGCCTAATGGCATGTCAGTCATGAGGGTTACTTGATTTGTGGTAGATCAAATATTTTTGAGCCAGAGCTCTGTTTATGCAGAGTTCTTTGTTGTAAAAATAGAAAACATTTCTTATAATTTTGTTTTTGCACTTTTTTTTAGGTATATCCTGTCGGAGAAGAACTCGACAGCGGTTCTGCCCGACATTATGACTTGCGGCCTAGAAATTTATACTTTCAGGGTTGCTAATTGTGTATCTTCTGCCCAGAATGCCACCCCGGAGAGGTCGACACGGAGGCTACCATCTTGGAGGTTAACTGGGATCAGGCACAAGCCCATCCGGTTTGGAGGACAGCCAGGTTGGGTGGCAAGCGGCTGGCCGGCCCAGCCCACAGAGTAGTCGACCAGCCGGTGGCTTATCACAGTGGAACGCGAGAAGCTCCACTTCCCCAAACGGCTCAGCTAGCCGAGATGGACCAGGCCAGTCCAACTCGCGCGGAGGCCGACCTTGGAGATGGAGGCCACCCTCGGAGGCGGAGGCCGTTCTTGGAGAGACGGTCACGTCATCCCTGAGGAGCTTGTTTCCCTGCTCAGTCTTCTACTCCGAACAGGCTGAGCCCATTACGTCGAGGGTACGATCAGCGTCAGCGCGGAACGGAGCGAGCGTAACCGAGAGAAGGAGACCAACGCAATGCGGGCCCCTTTGCCACACTGTGGCAACCTGGAAGACGTGAGACAAACGAGAAGACCGCCACTTCGTTTCAAGGTAGCGTTGGAGAGACCAACCGAGATCGACCCCGTCTCGACCCCTCGCCCAGGTCGCACAGCCCAGGGGGCACACAATGCCGGCTTTCTCTTTCACTGAAGACCAGCTGAACCCCCGTTGGTTATGCCAGGTCCCGCTTGTGCCCCAAGAGACCCACGAGGCCAGCCGTCGGCACATAGACATATTAAAGACAATGGGCCCCCTCGTCTGCGCAGTGGCAGCGGTGCAGTTGCTCCGCACGAACCGGCCCGACCTCCTGAATCCAGCTGCCCTGGGTCCTGCCCAAACCAAAACACACCCAAACGAAGCCCCTGGCAAGGAAATGACAACCGGGGAGTCAGCCCCAGGCCCCTCCACCGAACACCCTTTGTGTTTAGCAGTTTCGGCTCCACGCACTGGCTACAACCAAACTGCTTTCACCTCCTGCCAAAGGCACCGTAATGGAAAACATTGACAAATTCCTTGAGAGTGACGCGATACCCCCGGCCTCTGCTACCCGGGACCAGACGCTTCAGGAGGGGGTGATGTAGCGGACGAAGAAGAAGAGAGGACCACGGAGAGGCGCGAGGGACAAAAAAAGAAATAAGGGGGGCACGTGAAGGCACCGGCAGGAGCAGTCGAATCCGGCAGAGCTAAGAGCGGAAGCAGTGACAGCGCGCTCGACCCAGGACAGATTCTTCATCGCAGGCCCAGACCTTCATCGCGGAGCTGGACCTGCATCATAGGGGCAGACCAGCAACAAAGTGGCGGTCTACACAACCTGGAAGGCCAACCCAGCGGACAGACCTTGAAAGAACTGTATGTATTAAACCCTTTCTCATGGTCACGGGTGTTGTCTGGTTTCTCGGTGAGTGAGCAGAGCACGGTCCGATCGGGCAGGTGCAATAGGACACTTGCAAGCCACATCTTTACTTGGTTTAAACTAATTTTTAAAAAACAATTGTGTTTGAGGAAAAAAATATAGCATTAGAATTGTCTCTGCTTTGATGATTGCATCATTCAAAAGTCCATTCGTTTAACTTCATTTCTATGCATGACATCATATTGTAAAGCTACCGTAAAATTCCAAACAAGTGCCTCCACCTGAGTGACTTTCATAGTATTTTGTGATGCAACAAAAGCAAGAATTGCTTTGCTATAACCGGCAGCATGTCAGATCTCACAATTTCGGTATACAACTAGAACTCTGTTCCAAATAAAGCATGACCAACCAAACTTTGTGATTAGTTTGCTATATATCCGATAATTCGCTATATGAGTGTTCGTTTAAGAGGTTCAACTGTATATCGCTACAACGCCAGTATATCGTTGGCACAGGTAAGGCCATTCCGGAAGAGACGATACAGAAGAGTTTCAAGAAGTGCTGCCTCAGCAGTTGCCTCGACAGCGTGGATGACAATGTTGGTACAATGAGCGCACCTCAGTTGATAGCTGCAGCCATTAGTGATTAAAAGAAAGGTACCATTTCTAAGGAGACCTGAACTGTGCATGGTGAACTGTGCCAAGTAATATGCGAGGTATGTTTTTGTTTTTCCACAGTAAACCAGGGTACAGATTATATGCAGGGGCAGGTAATGTACACACAAAAATACAGCAATTCCATCTCAAAGCTTCCATACAGCCCCATGTACTACATATGTGACAACTTATGGCCAATTCGTCTGGGCCCGCATCGCAACGGTGCAGCACGGTTCGTGGTACACGGAAAGCTAGAGGGGAGAGGGGAGCTTCCATCTCTCCCCGTCAGTCTTTCGTGTACTAAAGTGGAAAGAGTTTAGTGCACTGGACGGGTGCGGTGCGGGCCCAGACGAATTGGCCATTAGTCTAGTGCTTAGTCAATGGGGTGGACGTTGAACAGTGTGTGTATGCATGTGCCTTGGTGAGAACCAGTTGAGCCGTCAACAATTTTTCAAGGTCGGCTAGCTCCGCCCTTGGGAGCGCGGAGGAAATCTACGAGAAGAAAAAGAGTCACTGGGGGAGAGAGCCGAGAGACGACGGGCATGGACGACAGGGGCGCGATTGGTGACTGGACGAGGAGAGACTGGGAGACAGAGAAGTGAACCAAAGTGGATGCAGCACAAGCAACGAGACAGCAGCGGGACTGCGAGCATTTGTCAGCCGGTCTCTTCGAATCTCACCTCAAACTGCCCTCATCAGTGATGTGCCAAACAATTAATGTTGCACACTGAACTTCAACCGTTATCCCTCGCGCCGCTTCTGTCGTTTGCACTACTTATTTTTGCGCGTGTGCACGCGTACCGTTCGTGGTGTTCCCTACTACTTTGTTAGACCATAAATATGGTAACAAAAGCGTTAGAATACTTACCTTTTTTAAATAAATGCTTCGTGGTCGAGGGTAAAGACTTTGCTGGGCATAAACTGTGATGCGGTTCAATGAGACAAGAGTTGCCATGAGTCAATCTGGGGTCGTTCATGATCTCAAAGTCATTGGAGCTTACCAGACGATAAGTTAGAAGGCATTTATTAGAGACATTTGCATCGTTTCAAGATCTTGTGCAGAGTGCTTCTGGTGCCAGCTTTAGCTTTGAACTGCAGTGAGGACTTCTGAGACAAACTAAAATTCAGAGCATTCGTTCATTTGTAGAATGTGTCATTTATTTAGCAAACGAAGCGAGCGACACCGGCAGTCGATGGGTCTCCGGCACACATGATCTTTTTAACCGCCGTACGAACGCTTGACAAATACCGATTCGATTTCCAAGCACTTAATATAATGATTGCGATGCATCGTAAAATACTCGCCTTTGAGCACCGCGCAGAAACTTCAATAATCCTACTTTTATGCGTCTCTCCCATAGACTTGCGTGTATTGCCTGATGTCAAGCAACCGCCGCCGGTGGTGCCACCGACGGGCTCCCGATCCGCGATCCAGCCTACTACAATGGAGATCAGAGGGTTAACCCCCTTCCGCAACTCACACCCCCGTGCCGACCAATCCGACTGGTGGCCACAAGTATCGGAATCGGGAAAATTCAATGTCAGAAACACGGCAAGCGAGCGTTTGCGAGCGACCCGTCGCCAGACCCAACGCTTGCCTCAAAGGCGCCCAGGGGAAGCCCCAATTGGAATCTGCGGCTCTGGAAAAGGCATGGGAGAACACGAGAGACCAAGAGCACTCACCCCCAAGCATGGCGGCCACCTCCTCCCTCTGGATCAGGGTCTCCGATTCGAGGTAGGTCGTGAGGGCCGCCAGGAACACCAGGCGCTGGCTCACAAAGCGCCAGTGGTCGTGGAACCTGCGCGGGGAGTCTAGCATCATTCGTGGGCCAACTCGCAGCTAATAAGGACACCTCCTCCCAGGCGTGGGTGAGTGGGGGTCAAGACAAGAGCAGAGCGCGGCAAATTGTAAGAAAGAACGAGAAAGAGAATGATAGAGAGGGCTTAAAAAAATCTGACAAAGGGCAAAGTGCATTTGTTTTGCCGCGACGAGTTTGAGTTACTCGAGTGCAAGTAGTCTGTATTTTATTTTAGACAATGTGCGACGCTGGAGCTTTCGTGCAAATTAGAGACTAGATACAGGCAACGCAAGCAAGGTTTAATTGCTTCTTTGCACATCATGAAGCGTCATCAACAATATGGCTCACTCGGGACCACCATGTTCCTTTGCGCGTGTTGATGCTGAATAAAGATATTGGTTCCCGTAAAAGCGGCCCAGCTGCTCTGTGAATTGTGCGACCGTTGTGAGTGCCACCATGCTTTGAATACCCGAGAAGATACCTACACAGGTAAGAATTTGCAAACGATTTGGCTGGAGGCGATCGGGCATTCAGCTCGCATCAAGTTTGTCCAGGTTTGTTCCTGTCATTTTGCTTCGAAAGGAAAGTATTAGCTCTATGTTTTGCAGAGCACATGGCCTGCCAAAACAAATATTTTTAGTTAATTTAATTGTTAATTTTTTTTTAGTCCTCTCGGTCACTTTTACTACACTTCAACAGATGCTGACAGACGCTTCTATTGAACCGTGGCTCTCGCATGATGGAACGCAAGAACATTGCTTTCATGGTCGCGTCTTGCAAGAGTTGCAGATGATTCTATACGGGGGCGAAATAGCCGACGGACAAAGACGAAAACGGATGCCAACACGCAGTTTTCATGTCCGTGTCTGTGCATGGCAGACGACGACATACGGTGGTGCGGAATAGCAGACGATGCCGGAGGCTGCCGCACATCTGCTCGCACGACTAGCAGACGCTTGTCAGACTTCCAGACTAGATGCACGGAATGTCAGGAAAATTGAGACAATGGACTTCCGAGCATGTACGGCCCAGCAGCCAAGACAATCTCGTAGTAATGGGCAGGGCCACTGATCTGTGGGCGGAGCTTAGAATGGGATGTGACCTTCCCGTAAATTGTGCCCAACAGCATAAATATAGCACAAAAAGATTAATTTTTTGTATCCCTTCAGTATTTCTTTAAGGACAATTAATTACCAAAAACAAGTTATTTTTAAAGGAGCACACTACATATATGTCAAGAAACAAACTTTCCCCCAAAATATAATAATTTTTTTACAGTAATATTTAGGTTGCGAGATGATTCCTAGTATTGCGACTTGCTTCTAATTTGTGCGTCTATTCCAGAATGATGTGCCAAAATAAAAGCGTTTCAAATTGCTCCTCACTCAAGACAAGAACTGCAATGTTTAATATTGCGCAAAAAAATTTTTTTCCGGAAAACCTCATTTCGTGACATGTGTCTGAAATCCAGGCACTTGCAACAAAAAGTTTGAGTTCAGTGTTTTTAGGAGCAATTCCAAAACTTACTAAAGGAAGTCTTTTGGGTGTTCAGTGCCCCCTTAAAGACCGACCAACGAAACCATTTTCCGCAAGGTAGGAAAATGCCCCCCGCACGCTCCTCTTTTCACCCTCTCCCAAAAATCACGTGACGGCAGGGGCTTCTTTTGTGTCGGCTTTTTCTGTAGGGATAATCCTCAAAAACCGCGAAATGAGCGGCTAGCTGCGAGCGCCACAACGACCTTGAGACGTCCAGGTGTCTTCCCTCGTTGACGCGGGTACGCTCAATCCGCGAGATTGAGGAAGCCAGCGCGACCGTACGCTTTTTCCCATGAGCTGCAGGTCCGAGGCCGCTCGGTCGGTGGAGGAGATCGAGGGGTCGTGGTATGCGGGGTTCGTTCCAGTAGCCGCTTTCTGGCATCGCGCGGCTGCTGGAACCATTCCCGTGTCTGCGCAAGGATTGGCTTGCGCAATAAAGGGTTCAGGTCGTCGATAATACATTTATTTTCGAAACTTATGGATCAAATGGCTTTCCCTAATCTCTTCTTTACTGTTTGAAACACAACTCCTCTCATAGGTTGTTTATCTCATTTTGGACTCTTTTGCGTATTTATTCGTCCTTACCTCTCCTAGATGTTTGTTTTATTACTTGATAAAGACCTTTAAATATTGGCGCGGGCTTGCGCGATCAACGCTTTACCGGATTTATCCAAAATTGGAAAGATTGGCGTCAAGAGCGGTTGAAGAAGCAAACCGAAATCCTTGCTTCTAATGAAGACGGCACAATCGCAAGATAGGTCTTTGCTTCACTTGCCTCCACAACGCCCTATCGTTTGCACTATCGCAACTTCTCAATAAAATAGCTGTATACCACATTTTACTCATGGTTACTATAGATGTGGCCCCACAGGCTTTCCCGTTATCAGCGAGTCGACGTGTTAACGACCGGCGACTCTCCTGAGTGAGAATAAATATTATCACCTTCCATCAACATCCACCCCTTTCTCTCCCTCCACCCCCCGCCCCTCCCCTCTTTCCCGAGTTGGGGAAGTATCAGGCCACTCCAGGAAGCAGCCTGCAGACTGCGCTTTTCAGCTACTCATCCTCAACACATTCGAAAGTGGAAATAAACATATCGCATCAGCGACGCCCAAATTATTTGCGACCTAAATAATGTGGCTCTACTGTTGGGACCCAATCAATTTCATCATCAATCATTATTTTTTACGATTTCATGGTAAAAGTGTGTTCGTCGTGATGCCACAAAAGTGGTTGATTCAAATTTTGCTGAAATACTCGCTCCTGTGACGCTCTAGTGCGTAAGGTCAAAGCACCCGAGGCAGTGCGTAATACTTTACAACTGTCGTTGACAATAAAATATTCGTGGGAAGTGCGTAAGATTGTTTACACCACAAAAGCGTACCTAAACACAACAAAATATCGCAATGGCAAAAAAAAAAAAAATCAGCTTGCGAAATTTGTTGCTTTTATCTCTCTCTCTCTCTCTTCGCGCCACTACAAAAAATAGCGGCCGAGCAACGAAATTCTATCAAAACCTCGCTTCTTGGAGAAAGGACAGCAGGCTATATGGTAGTGAATTTGCCAGGGAGCTTGTAGAAATTATAGGCGACCATTGAACATAGCCTTTTACACAAATCATGCCCGGGATATTTCCATTTTCCTTCCACGCGATTAGAAGGAAAGACGCTGGGAGAATTCATGTGCATTAACATGCTGCTTCTAAAAGAAAGTACCAGATTTATAGTGCATGTCAATTTAGATGTAAATAGTTTAATCACTGTGCACAAACATTCGCGGCCTGGAGGATGACATGGAAGCATGACGAAAAGCAGCTTGCTGAAAATAGAAGTCTCTATTGCATTGCACAGGTGTGAAGAATTATTACGTATTTTGTCTTATTTCCGTGCCAAAATAAAAACAGCGTTTAGAAACCGAACCCTGTGCGTTTTGAGGAGCGCCGAAAGGACATAAACAAATCGGGACAACCTGAACAATACGAGGCGCCTTGCGTCACTCAGCTTTTCCTGGTTGCTTGTTTTTCCGGAGCCTTTCAAAAGGGGATGAAAAATTATGAACCAATTGACCCGACTTGCCACATTAGAGCAGTTCATTTTCATTACGACAGGCTCTCTTAGAGCGTCTTGCATAGTTCAGCTTGTACTGGTCCGTTTTTATTTTCGGTTCCTTTCAAAACGTGAGCTCTAAGCCCGACTGGACCAAACTACCACATCATAATCTGCGGAAGCGGAAAAGTGGAAATGCAACAAAATGAATGATTCGTCCACGTTATTTGAGACCTATAGAAAAGCGGACCGGATAGAAGGGGGCCGAAATCTCTTTCAAGAAACACACAATCTTCTCTTCAATTCTGTCTAACAATTTGATGTGAAGGTGTACTTGGCTATGGCATTATTCGTTTAGGAATCAAGCGAAACTTTGTATCGGATCATTATACCTCTACGTTCACTCCCATTCGATGCTTATCATGTTTTCGACTATGTACACGGGGTGGTTTTCAGCGGTAGGTCTTTAATCTGATTGCCCGGCAGAGCGCAATCCAGAACGCACTACGGCCGCGGGCCGTCGCGCTCTTCTCCTTCTTCTCCGTATCAAGATACAATCAAAGACGCGGGCGGAGCCGTCAATCGTGCATGGTGTCGGGAACCAGTAACTCTGACCCTTGAAATGCAGGCGTGACGCAAAACCCAGAGGCGTCTCGTTCGCCCACTTACGTTCTTCCCAGGCGGCGGAGGTTGCCGTTTAGAGGGGATTATTTTCTGAACGGATCCAAGTTACTTGAGCAAGCTCGCATTCTGCTCGCAAAGCCCAGCCACTAAACAAAGGTAACGGACGGTGGTTCGAGAGACGTGCAACCCTTGGCCGCTTGGCCCTCCCAACCACTTCTCCACTTCCGTAAATTTTGAATGTTGCAGGTTGGTCCAGTGGCTTAGAGCTCACTTTTTGAAAGGAACCGAAATAAAAAACGGACCAGTACAAGCTGAACTATGCAAGACGCTCTAAGAGAGCCTGTCGTAATTAAAATGAACTGCTCTAATGTGGCAAGTCGGGCCAATCGGTTAATAATTTTTCATCCCCTTTTGAAAGGCTCCGGAAAAACAAGCAACCAGGAAAAGCTGTGTGACGCAAGGCCCCCTCGTATTGTTCAGGTTGTCCCGGTTTTTTTATGTCCTTTCGAAGCTCCTCAAAACGCACAGTGTTCGGTTTCTGTTTTTATTTCCGCACAGAAATAAAACAAAAACACGTAATAATTTTTCACACCAGTGCAATGCAATAGAGACTTCTATTTCCAGCAATCTTTCCGTTATGCTTCCATGTCATCCTCCAGGCCGCGCATGTTTGTGCACACTGATTAAACTATTTACATGTAGATTGACATGCACTAGAAATCTGGTACTTTCTTTTAGAAGCAGCATGTTAGTGCACATAAATTCCCCCAACGTCTTGCCTTCTAATCGCGTGGAAGGAAAATGGAAATATCCCGGGCATGATTCGTGCAGAAGGCTAGATTCAATGGTCGCCCTTTATTTCTACAAACTCTCTGGCAGATTCACTACCATATAGCCTGTTGTCATTGCTCCAAGAAGCGAGGTTTTGACAGAATTTTGTTGCCCGGCCGCTATTTTTTGTAGCGGCGCGAAAAAAGAGAGAGAGAGTGGGGGGAAACAATGGTTTTCGCAGGCAGACCTTTTTTTTTTTTTTTTTGCATTTGCGATATTTTGTTGTGTTTAGGTATGCTTTTGTGGTGTAAACAATTTTACGCACTTTACACAAATACTTCATCCTCAACGACAGTTGTAAAGTATTACGCACTGCCTCGGGTGCTTTGACCTTACGCGCTAGAGCGTCACAGAAGCGAGTATTTCCCCAAAATAAATACGAGGACCTATTTCTCCCTTTGAATTGACCACTTTTGTGGCATCACAACGAACACACTTTCACCATGAAATCGTAACAAATAATGATTGATGATGAAATTGATTGGGCCCAACAGTAGAGCCACGTTATTTAGGTTGCAAATAAACAGGGCGTCGTTCATGCGATGTGTTTACTTCCACGTTCGAATGTGTTGCGGATGAGTAGCCGAAAAGCGGAGTCTGAAGGCTGCTTCCTGGAGTGGCCTGATATTTTTCCTACTCGGGAAAGGGGGCGGGGGGGGGGGGGGGGGGGGGGGGGGGGGGGGAGAGAGAAAGGGGTGGATGTTGTGGGAAGGTGATAATATTTATTCTCATCCAGGAGCGTCGCCGGTCGTTAGAAAGTCGACTCGCTGATAACGGGAAAGCCTGTGGGGCCACATCTATAGTAACCATGAGTAAAATGTGGTATACAGCTATGTTACTGAGCAGTTGCGATAGTGCAAACGATGGGGCGTTGTGGAGGCAAGTGAAGCAAAGACCTATCTTACAATTGTGCCGTCTTCATTAGAAGCAATAATTTCGGTTTGCTTCTTCAACCTCTCATGACGCCAATCTTTCCAATTTTGGATAAATCCGGGACAGCGTTGATTGCGCAAGCCCGCGCCAATATTTAAAGGTCTTTATCAAGTAAGAAAACAGACATCAAGCAGAGGTAAGGACGAATAAATACGTCAGAGTTCAAAATGGGATAAACAACCTATAAGAGAAGATGTGTTTCAAACAGTAAAGAAGAGATTAGGGAAAGCCACTTGATCTATAAGTTTCGAAAATATATGTATTATCGACGACCTGAACCCTTTATTGCGCAAGCCAATCCTTGCGCAGACACGGGAATGGTTCCAGCAGCCGCGCGATGCAAGAAAGCGGCTACTGGAACGAACCCCGCATACCACGACCCCTCGATCTCCACCGACCGAGCGGCCTCGGACCTGCAGCTCATGGGAAAAAGCGTACGGTCGCGCTGGCTTCCTCAATCTCGCCGATTGAGCGTACCCGCGTCAACGAGGGAAGACACCTGGACGTCTCGAGGTCGTTGTGGCGCTCGCAGCTAGCCGCTCATTTCGCGGTTTTTGAGGATTATCCCTACAGAAAAAGCAGACACAAAAGAAGCCCCTGCCGTCACGTGATTTTTGGGAGAGGGTGAAAAGAGGAGCGTGCGGGGGGCATTTTCCTACCTTGCGGAAAATGGTTTCGTTGGTCGGTCTTTAATAGGACACTTGATAAGATTTTGATGCTTCATAGCTGAAAGTGTCTTTCAATGTCCATACAGTTCAATGTTGGAATAAACATTTTTTTTCTTTAAACAATGCATTTAGTCTCTTCACTATCCTAAAAAGCTTAGCTTGCCACCAAAAGTCTAGCTTGTCTATTTAGTTCAGTGCATCAGCAAAGTGTGCAAGCACGGGCAAGTAGCTCCGCAAGAAGATTCTGCTGTTCATGAGTGTGCAGTAAAAGTACCTTATATTTTACTTTTAACTAGAAGAGGGAAGGTTGTGTGACCTCCTAAAGCAAAGTCATACTACTGTAACATCCTAAGAGATGCCTTACCCCCGAAAGATAGTCCACCCCTATTTTTGGCTTGATTTGCAACATTTTTTTAAACACCGGAGGATAGCCCACTCGTAATAATAGCAGTGTTGTGATAAATGATAGCCTCGGTGTAGATGCGGCCAGTTAGCTCCGGCGGGACATAAGTGAATCTTGCTGACTGGGAAGTACAGTCATTTTTGCTTCGTTGCTCCTCGTCACCATGACAAGCTTGGAAGGGACACGACCTAAAAATAGCAATTTCTTTTACCTTTCTCGATTGTAAGTCAGCCCACTCCATATTTTCACCCGATTTGCTCTTGATGTTAGGTGGGCTATCTCTCGGAATTTCACGGTACTTGTTAACTTTTGATAGTTTGGACTCGATCCTTCAATATTGTTACAAAAAAAGTCTGCTAAAAATAATTTCTTTTTTACCTCTGGAAAATGTGGTTTGTGCTCTTGGCCCATTGAAACTGCCAAAATTAATATGAACACTAGAAAAAACTGCAAGTAGTTAGAAGGAAAAGTGTGCAAGAAGCTGCTGATATGCAAAAATAACTAAAATGTCCCACCAAAAAGGGAGGAGACACAAACCATCTCAGTGGCCCTCAGAAACAAACTAATTAGGAAAGAGAAGTCTGGTTGTTACTTCTCTTCATTACAAACAAAAAATGGTCAACAAACCACACCTCCTAATTGCCACAACTTTACAGCAAGCAGACTCACCGGTAGTACTGATTCTCAGGAACCTTAGACTTGAGCACTTGGAACTGATTTTTCACATTTGCAAATGCAGCTTTTGACTTCTGACAAAGCTCTGGAACTGAGACAAGAGTGGACAAACAATAAATGCGAAGTGCACAAAGTGCACTCTGTAAGGAAGTGTTTGCACATGTAATCCAACATCCAACAACTTGTGCACTATGATCCAAGTATTGGCACTCCTTTCCCCGTTGTCTGACACCACCACAACAGTCATGCGCCCACCACGTGACGCTCGTAAACATACCAGTTGCTAAGCCCTAGATGGGCACCATTAGTAACAGTCATGGTTCTGAAATTCAACTTGCATCATACTGGATTATTGTGGACAGTCTTGGCAGGCAGGATGATGAAACATGCTTCCTACATTTTTCACTAAGAACAACAAATCTAAACCCATGGTGGAATGTTTGTTGCAGTAAAACCATTGTGTGAACCCTATCTATCTCTATGTACCTACTTGTCGTTCCGTGGCATCAGAGAAAGTGAGCAAATGACCTCTCGGAAAATTAGTGTCAATAAGTAGTTACTTATTTAGCTAACTTGCTGAAGAAGGCCTGAAAAAATCTCCCAGAATCGTTAACTATACTTTGTTTCAGCTTCCGTCCGAGCGCAGCCAAAGGCTGAGGGACGGTTCGCAACTTCCAGAAGAGCATTCCTAGGCACCACAAAGTAATCCGCAAGTTTTTTTTTTTTTTTTTTTAAATAACTGTTTTGTGCGTAAACAACATTCCAGATGTGTACTGCTGAGAATGATTTGGAACTAAAGGAATTAAGCATCTGAAGTTTATGCTTTTATTAAGATACGTAAATGCATGTGGTTTGATGAAAACACGTACATCCGCTGGCAACACGGCTGCAGCACTCGGTTTTTCTGTGTGACTTCGTTCCCGTAATGGCCGAATGATGTGCTTCACTGCTTTCCTCACCCAGTCACTTCGAAACGTCCTTTCGTAAAGGCATGTTTGGGCGTCAGATGCGAGAGGTTGTGATGAATGTCTACTTTCAAATTCGGCAAGAGACTCCGGCCGCGTCGTACCGCGAAGGCGTTGTGAACAAGGAAAGCGTCCGGGCCACTACAATTCACTGCTACGCAGCGAAATCAGGGCACCCCTTTACCTGCCGATCACATTGAACGCTGAGAGGCTGATGAAAGGACTGTGCTTCGAGCCCTGGTATATCCAGACAATACAAGGAAACATCAACGGCCGGGTCATTGGGCACCTTGCAATGTGTACTTACATCTCGAAACTATGCCGAACAAGTGGAAAGCTTGGACACAGACGCCAGCGGCCAGCCTACATACTGACATCCCCTGTGACTAAATTTCAAAATGCGAAAGGGCACTTTTTAAACCTGTAGCAGACGATACCGTTGAAACACCTGTAGCAGACGAAATACTCGGCGAGCGCGGGCGGCACAGACGACCAGCGGCGCAGCAGAGTGATACAAAAGTGCAGGCGAGATCGCGTGACCTATTGCCAGCGCGTGATTGGCTCCAACCACACATAGCTTTGGCTGCGCTCGGGCGGAAGCTGAAATGAAGTATAGACACTTCGCCATGATCCTAAAACTAGTTATTTCACTGTCCCATTGATGCTTCAAACCAGCAAATACGAAAATTCTAGATGCCGAAAAAGGGTTCTATCATCCGTGGTAGGACACCTCCACATAATTGTCTTGGTTTTAGGACTTGGGCGCCAGACCGTATGACTGTGCACAGTGCACTGACAGATTAGAAGTTAACAGGAATGAGGTGCTTACCTAATTCTCCATCTATTGCAAAAGATAGGTAAAGGGACCTTGTGCCGCCTAAACATCAATAATAAATTTGGTTTCTCGGTAACTTCTTTATTGTTTATTGTTTATTGAAATAACCCCACAGCGCCCGTGAGGGCATTATAGCGGGGGAGGGGCAAATACAAAATGAACATGACGCCAAAGAAAACTTAAATTGCCTAAACAGTCAAACCCCAAAATGTGACTTACCAGGAGAAATCAACATGAAAATAAAGACAAACGTAAACCCAAACCAGCGTAAAACTAGACACTGCACTCGTGAATATATATAGAAAAAGCTGAAGTTTGTAGAAATAACAGGTTTTAAGAATCTGACAATGCCTGATAAAATTGATAGCTTACGCTTGTTGAGACGATCTCTTCAGGTAAATTGTTCCAGTTGAGTATTGTACAAGGAAAAAATGAGTATTTGTAAATGTCTGTTCTGCTGGAAAAAGGCCTAATTTTTCTGCTATGATCCAGGCGCCGAGAGATAAAGTGAGGTGGAAGTAAATAACGCATTTTGTCAATTCCACACTGATCGTAATATATGCTGTGAAGGAGTTTCAGGCGGAAGCATTTACGACGATTCAGTAGAGGCTGCCAGTTAAGATCGCGTTTCATGGCAGTTACACTTTGACCACGCGAGTATGCATTAAGGACAAATCTGGCGGCTCTGTTTTGTATCAGTTCTATACTATTTATCAGGTACTGCTGGTGGGGATCCCAAACTTCTGAAGCGTACTCTAGAATGGGCCGAATATTTGTGAGATACAGGGTGTTTTTGACCTCTTGAGGAGAATTTTTGAAATTACGTTTGATGAAGCCTAGCATCCGATTAGCTTTAGCAGTCATATACTCAATGTGAAAGCGCCATGACAAATCGTGGGAAAAGTAAACGCCTAAATATTTTACTTGTGGTGACATGTTGATGGGAATGTCGTTAATCTGGTACATGGTGGTGATAGGGTTACGCTTTCTAGTTACACGGACAAAGTGACATTTGTTAACGTTCAAATCCATTCCCCAAGTACTACACCAGTTTGCTATGCGGTCAAGGTCGGCCTGCAGAGTGATACAATCGTTGACCGAACTTACTGCTCGATAAATTATACAATCGTCAGCATACAGGCGTATACTAGAAAAAACGTCTACAACAATGTCATTGATAAATATTAAAAATAAAAGAACCAACAACCAAACAAACTGAACCAAACAAAATTATCCCCACACCCCCCCCCTCCCCTCCCCCAGCCCACACATACACTACTGTTCAAACTAGCCATCTGAAGACACTGATATTTTTAAGAGTTCCAAGTGCAGCCCACCCCAAAACAATGGCTGTGAAATAGACAGTGCCTCCATGACTACCAATCCTCATTGCACCCCACTACACCAGAATGGATTGGCCAGTGCTTGGTCTATAGTCAAATAAAACATAAGGACAGTGCGAGAAGGAAAAGGGCATGCACGAGAAAAGCCGCTGTGAGAAGGAGGTCGCCCCTCTCCACTTCAGCTTCCCTAATTTCCACACTTCTCCCCCTCGCACCGTCTTTCTTATGTTGCATCCGACTCTAATACGAATGACTTGACCTCCTGCCCCCTTTCAAAACTAATAATGTGTCCACCTGGCAAGGATCGCCGACACTTCGCAAGGCACAACCAAGGTGACGAGGAGACGCTCACTCTTAGAGAGGCCGTCCGGTTGGTGAATGCCCTGCAGAATGGTCAGGATGCCGCGGGCAGTCTGCTCCAGCTCTCTCACTACCACCCGGATTTCCTGAAAGGGGAGGGAGGAAGATGGCAAAGTCCTCAGGAGAGCCATCACAGACCGAGTCTAGCTGGCTATCTGTACAGTATCTGAAATGCCACTAGCTGCTGTCGCCCAGAAAACTCCAGCGGAAGCTTCGTTGACGCTGCTGCGCTCCCCTCCCCAATCCCAATGTTTGTCACCAGCTGATGAAAGCGCCACCTTTCTTGCGGGTGAATCATTCTTGCCGAGATGTCGTAGCATGCAAAATGGGCGGCGCTTCGATCAGGTGATGACGAAGAACAAAAGACAAAGAGAGGGAGAAGGCTGTGCTTCATTGGAAGTTTTCCAACAGAGATGATCTTGAGACACTGAGTCTTCGTAAAAAGAAACACAAAAGACTGAATGGTAGTTAAATGTAGAGATGCATGCAGGGAGTTTGGCCAACAACAGAGTTCCACAGAATGGAATGCAGGATAAGCATTTCTGCATTCCAATGCTCCTACCAATCACCACCAGTGTTTGCTCTTCAAGCAGCGCTTGTGTGAAAAGATGCATCTGAAATTAGATTGTGCAGTTGGATCGTCATTGAGGTTGCGGCACTTCGCAATGGAAAAGTAGAAACTTTAAGTGTTTGGAAACTGGGTTAGAAACATGGGGGCCAGAATAACCCTTACTTAATAAGCTTGAAGGGCTGCAGTCGTGAACAACCCCAGTGAGTTTTTTTGCTGATGACTATGATTTGAACTCTTCAGACTTCAGGTTACAGTTTTATTAATCGAAACTGCCACAGAAACATGGTAGCACTTGACACGAGAACAAAGGAGGACTGGACAACACAGAGGGGGTAGTGCATCATGCGCAAAGAGGGTCGTGTATCAGATTCTGTTATCATGCAAAGAGAACTATGCTGGACAAACGAGCAGGAGTTTAAATCATAAATTACGCGGGCACAACCTAAATGTTAACAGCTATTAAGATGTCCACCTCTCAGTCACTGTCAAGACTGCGGCTGCAGGCTTCTGTTTAAGACGTGTACGTAAGAATAACCGCCGAATTCAAAAACCTCACTCAAACTACACTCAAACTGAAGGGCCCCTCCACTTCCTCGAGGAAGGCGCGAGGGGCCCTTAAGTTTGAGTGTAGTTTAAGTGAGGTTTCTGAAATCGGCGGTAAGACCGTAAGAAAGAACTGAAACAGACGTGATCGAAAAATCTGTGCAGGCTGTGTCAGCGTTGCCTCCATTGACCTGATAGATAAGGAGGTAGCATTCTTGCGAGCGGCGGCGAGGCTTGGGATTAGCTGAAAGTGCAATGATCGCACCCTGCATTTTCCTATTCACAATGATTAAACAGTTGAAGTAGGCGCTCTGTGTTGTCCAATCTCCTCTTCAGTCCCCGTTTCTAGTGCTGCCATGTCTTCAAATACAAAGTATGAACTCACAAAACAATCTGCACTGCCTAAAAAAAATTTGGGGGCTTTTCAATGCACTGCAAAATGCTGAAACATTCACCAGAAGGTAGTTAGTGCTGAAGGAAAGATGCAAAAAGTTTCTATGATGCATCTCAACAGAATAACGAATTTTAAGGGGGAATGCACCAGGGGAAAACATTATTTTTACTATTTATGTTAACGAAATAAAATTTTCACAGTTTATAGTGCTTTATCTCCTCTTTATAAATTTAGAATTAGATTCAATACAGCCTGTTTTTTATGTACTAAATGCCCCAGACATGCAGAAAAAAATCCCATTTTTGGACACACGTGGGGCATGGAACTACAGTTAAAGGGGCGGTGCAATGATTTTAACACTGAACGAATGTGCAGCTTGTATTTTTTATATTGTTTACTTTGGCATAAGTAAGAAAAAAAGTACCACCATACCCAAAAATACCGCTATTTCGCTGCGTAATCGCAAAAGAAAAAACACTTTTTTCACAACATTTCACAATAACACAACACAACAACTTTCATTTTTTTTAATGAAAACGCTCCTTTGTTTTATATGTGGCCGGGATCAATTCCCACAATTAATTAGCCGAAGTCCGCAAATTGTTGCACCGCCCCTTTAAAAGAGCCAAGTAAAATAAACTACTAAAAATATCGAGCAACCATCCATTCCACCAATAAGTGCCCACGCTACAACTTCACAACATTTTGAAAATACATGAAGAACATATGTTTACATAATGTTGACCTAAGGAGTGCCCCTTCCCCAGTTTTAGATAATTATCCACAAATTTTGTGTGGGCGCTTGATCAAGATTTTACGATAATTCACTCCTTCTACACCACTGAGTGCAATCAAAAGTAAAAATAACAAGTGTGAGACTTATTTCATTTTAAAATAATTAAAAATTTCAAAAAAACCTTTTTTAAAGGGCAAACAGAAGTTTTATACATGGTTCAAAAATGTGTAAAAAATATACATTCTAACTAAACCTGGATACTTGCATACCACATATTCTAAAGTATACACCTTTCCAAAAAACACTCGACCCCAGGGACCACAATCCGTTTTAGAGCCCAGTCACTGAGTTTGAGGCTAGACTCTCACCGGCGTCCCTCCTAACCCTAACCGAGTGGACTGTGATTTCAATAGGCGCAGCCTGCGTAGGCGCAGTTTCAAACGCTGCTGGCGGCTAAATTCTCGTTTTTTCCCGCAATATTTTGTGTTTCATTGTACATGTATTTTCCCGAGGGCATTGAGAAAGCATTGTGTCACACTAAAAAAAAAAACAAAAAAAAAAAACTGTAAACTGTTTTTGTTGGGCACGCGCGCGACAGAACGAGTGCGACTGGAATGTATAGTTCTAGTTATTTGTTTTTTTTTCTTACGATCAGTTTTGACAACGCCGCGGGATTCGCCGCATGTGAAACGACAAAGCGCTTTGCTGTCAAGAATAAATTGCAACAGAAGACGGCCGAAAGGCATGCATTTTTCACTCTCACAAATAACGTGTTTACCGATGGACAGGACACGGACATAGAATTGAGGAAGTGGTAACATTCGAACAATATATCGTACATACCACACGATGCAGCGTTATCCGAAAAGAATTTATTTGAGAAAGATCTCAAATAACACAGTCACAGTCGACGACAGTCACATCTTGACGATCGGACGGAATCCGAGATGACTTCGTTTGGGGCAAGTTTCGGGGAGAGCTTCCTTTTTTTCCCAACCGCACCAAGGCAAAGAAACAAACGCGACTGACCCGTTTCTCACCCCAACCCGGGCAACTATTTTTGGAGATGACTGAGGATTCTACGCGGATTATCTCTGGGAGGGGGGAGAACAATGTTCGCAAAATCGCGTCGAGGGTCGTTCGACGTCCTTCACCTGCTTCGTTTCCCGTGAATGTCGAGCAGAAAAGCTTGAATGACAGGCACTTACCAGCCTTATTTCTCACAATGGAAGATAACACAAGAAGGGTAGGCAGCACGCATAAAAAAATGAAGTGGAAACTTTCAAGAGAGCGAGAAAACGTCGAATGCGAAACGGCTAAAATGCATGTAGAGAACCGCGCTGAGCGGGTCTTCACAGTCCCAGAGAGTGGCAGAAAACCTCTAGCTGATAGAGGGCGCGAGAGTCGCACCAGCCGCATCAGCATCAGCAACATGGCGGCGGCCTAGGAGCGTTTTTTGGAAAGGTGTATATGCATGGCAAATTCGCTTACAATAGGACAATATTGAAAAGAAAAATTCTTGTGTGCAAAGTGTGAAGATGCCCCAAAATTACAAAGAGAAAAATACATTTGAATGCTACCAAAGACGTGTAGCGATACTCGTGACAGGAAAAATACATTAGTTAATAATTGTCTGTCAGAAATTGAAGCTACAGAAAACTGCGATGGAGAGAAGGCTAGGCCTACTTGTCAACGAAAATTTGATGGCAAGCAACATCACACTTACAAGAACCACACAAAAAAAATGGGTAATTGTTGGCCATTCCGAGTTTCTGGGAGGTTTCCAAAAGCATATTTTACTAATTTCATGATCATACCTGACACTTAAGATTTTTATACATAAAATAAGAAGACTTAAAGATAATAAAACACCACCTAAAACCTGAAAACACATTTTTTCGCAAAATACTGCCATTTTTCTACTTACATCTTCTCTTAACATACCTTAATACTTTGTGTAAAGCCAACACAGAATGTATTGTGTTTATGTTGACCTGATTCAATTTGTTTTGCCTATTTGGCTCTTGGGGTGATCTGTTAGGGAACCCTGCACAAACACACAGTGCAATCTGTGTGAATCTGCTTTTTGGAGCAAAAGCTTACACTGCAGAACCCAGGGATCCTGGGTTCAACCCCACCCATTTGTTTCGATCCGGATGAGCATCGTACCAGCGTGTGATTGTGTATCACTACTGCATGATGCACGTTAAAGAACCCAGGCTAGCGGTTGTACTGCAATGGCTAAATTTCTCATTTACAGCTGGGAGACAAATTTCCCATTGAGGCAGACTAAGTTCTAGGCTGTATAAACACACACTCCCCATTTTTTTTAATCTGTTTTATGCAAAGTGTAAAGACAAGTCCAAAGTTTTGCCACTGATCTACAATGAACTGCAATAATTCACAATTTCCTACGTCATCGGTGACTATGCGCAACAAGGTGACGTGGCCACTGTAACTATGAACCACCTGGCATTATGTGACGACAGCTTCCTATCACGTAACTATAGCTTATGGGATCATGTAACCTACAGTGATTACATGATCCGCCAGTCTATTGTGGTGACACAATCATAGCACCTGTAGCGATTATGTGAGCCCGTGAAGTCACAAAATCACTCCCGACACTGGAGCGACAAAGTTTTTGCAACAGGAACTAACAGCCGCTGCAACAACGCATATCCAAACCTTTTCACTGGTGCAGGAAGTAAAGGATCAAAGCAAGAGTATAGTATTTGCGTTAGTGTGGCACACGACGAAGTGTGCCACGCGCCCCAGACCTTTCTATGGTCGGTGACACCCTGCTAAAATAGGAAGAGATGGGAGGAGTTACTCCTGAACTCTTAACCTGCCACCAACTATAGAGGTCATCCCCAATCGATACAGGGAGGACAGACGTTTCACTCCTGGTGAGGGAGAAAATGTCTTTCCACACAGAGTTTTCTGTGAAGACACCTGGGCTGTGTTAACATGCTTTCATTAAAACTTGTGATGCCTTAGGCTTGGAAAGCAGCTCTAAAACATATCCTGTACAAAGGTTCAAGTCACTTTTCAGGAGATCATGAGTCATGGGGAAGCACCCTCGTACTGTGGCAAACGTATGCCGAATATCCGACACACTGATGCTAGGTGTGAATAGGGTGCCTCAATGCCTGTGTTTCTTTCAGAAAGGAACCACACTGCGACCAAAGTGGCAGGATCAATCAGGCACAGCAGAGTAAGATTGCGTCCTGCTTCTTGGTAGCGCAGTGTTCTTTGCAGTTTGAAGCGACACAACGAATCAGCCCAAAGGTCTTTGTAATCGTTTTTTGCAGAACCATATTCAAAACTGCGATGTTTGAGCAGCCGTCGCCAGCTGTCGGTGTATTTAATAAAAGCAAGAGCCAATAAGGGCCAAACGACAGTTTGGTCAGATATCAAGAACAAAACACGCGAGCGAGCGCGCACCCTGCACACGCTCTGGATCAGGGCCTCTCGCTGGCCGGTGGCGATGCTGATAGTCCTGAGCCGCTGACACATCAACTCTTCCACCCTTTGCCACAGTCTGTATATTGGTCTGGGGGATGCCTGGGCTCTCGAAGTCGTCCGGTCAGGCCTGACTGGATCGGTCGTTGAGATGGTGATGCAGACTCATCTTGTATCTCAAGAGCAATCTCCTGCCAACTCGACTCAAGAAGGTTGTCGGTCATGCTCCAGTCTGGCGGTCATGGTGGTGTAGCATTCATCTGCAATGTCTTTCGATTGTGATCTATGTGATGTCACACCTTACGAATGGCACATCTTACGAGCCAGGAACGTGGGCCATTTAGGCGCAGGATTTCCTCTCAAATCCGTTCAGCTTTGTCAGGAATTGGTGGATGAGTACTTTCTCCCCTCATTGGAATGGGCATGCATGACTTTGTATGTCTTGGCACTTCCCTACTTCCGTTTCGGTTTTCGGGTTCAGCGAGTCAAGGAGGCATGGTAGTACTCAGCCGAATATTTCCTTTGAGTGTCATTCCAGCTGTATTGTGGACTGTGGAATGCTGCCGAAAAAGGAATTGAGCCAGCCGAGGCTGTGTGCTCCAAGATGCATCTTTGATTAGTGCCTTTGTTAATTCTCTGAGATGGCGCTCGGCCTGCCTATTTGTTGCAGGATGGTGCACTGCAGCTGTCACAGTCTGTACCCCATTTGATATGTAGAAGTTCTCCATCTCGCTGGAGAAAAACGCACTTCTGTTGCTGTTGTTGTTCCCCCCCCCCCCCCCCCCCCCCCCCCCCCCCCCCCCCCCCCCCCCCCGAAACAAAATCCTGGCTACGTGCCTGGTCGGCTTCATAGGCAAGTGGACGCTGGTTCGATCCGCGGTGGGCCTACTTTTCTTTCTTTTTTTTTTCTCAAACATTTTTGTTTTTTCGAGGCATTTGGCGATATGTACGACATTTTGTTTTTACAAAAAAACACTGAAAAAAAAACAACTAATGTTGTCGACGAAACTTCACAGAACTAAATGGTATGGGGCTCCCTTTCCGGAGGTGTGATCGAAGACAGTGGGGCTTGGGTTGCCGGCTGGACGCCGCGAAGTGGCGTGTACTGGTTAAGTTTTGTAATTAGGCCCGCATCAGACAGGGCAATTTTTCCAGCAATTTTGAGGTTGCTGGCAGGTTGTTCCCTAGCTTTCCCTAGATCGACGCGAATTGCTGAGATCGGGTCCGGCTCAAACAAGCGAGCAACTCGGAGCAATTCGAAGACGGTTGAAGCGGCTGCAGCCAATCAGAGACGCAATATTTTCACGCGACACCCCTGTAGTGGTGATGATGACAGCTAAAGACTTAGTTCTGGTTTGGAATGGATTGTTTTCGAAAATAAACAATTTAAGAAAAATGAGTTAGTATTCTCAACGCCGTTCAAAGATATAAGAACGTGTTTTCAGCACGTAGCTGGGCGTCTAAATAGTGAAAGAAGAATCAAATTTAATGATGATGATGGCAAGTCGGAGCAATTCGGTTGCTCCGACTTGCGGACGACGACTCTTGGACCTGCTCGGTTGCAGGTGTGTGAACGGTGCCTACAGTACGGGTTGGTGTCACGGTGCAGATTCATTAATAGTCTCGACGAGTGCAAGCACGGGATATAAACCTGGTGACTGAAAATAACTTTCTTTATTAGCAGTGCAAACATGTCCGGAATGCTTGGAGATCATCTGCCTGTTCTTTGACGTTCGCGGTCTTTCCCGGGTTTGACAGGACTAGTAAACCCAGTTAGCCGAATCTGACAAAGTTCATGGAGTGGTATTAATAAAACAGACTGTTTCTTCACACTGTGCGTACTTCATATCATTTTAATGCGAAACGCTTGGTATTCCCGGTGCAGATGACAAAATTTGGTGCAATTCTCGCGAGTAAATACGTCACAGGTTTTGCGCGTCGTCAAACTCCACGTGTGAACAGGCCGATTTCGCGAAATCTTGGTTTCGCTAAACTGTGGCGCGTTGAAAAAAATGCATCGTGTGAATAAGCCTTTACTTTACTCTTTAATAAAAGCAAGAGCTTATAACGGTCAAACTACAGTACGGTCGGAAATCAAAAACAAAAAACACGAGCGAGCGCGCACCCTGCACGCCCTCAGGATCAGGACCTCCCGCTGGCCGGTGGCGATGTTAGTAATCCTGTGCCGTCGACTCATCAAAAACTGAGGGGGTGTTTCACTCCCGTCCGAACCCGACCAGCGACGCTGAAATCACTCATGCAAAATGGCTGCTGAAGAAACCCCTTCGACGCGGTCAAAGCAACGCTACAGTAATGTTTCTAAAACGCACTCGACATGTGGCCTTAAGTAGCGCTGATACTTGTGCGAAGCTAAGCGCCCTCGAAAACAATTAGCAGCATACTTTTGGATCTGGAGCAAAGTTGCAGTGGCTCTCAAATGTCAAGCAGAGTGGCTATTAACAAAGACACGAAGAGGTATCGTTGACATCATGGAAGCATAAAAGCGAACGCCTCTCACCTCTCTTAGGTCCTGCTCGGTTTCCAGATACTGCTGAAAAGACAGGAAGATATCGCTCATCGACTGGGCCATGTTTCGCAGCTTTTAGAAAAAGCACCACGTGAAAAAAACGAGCTCGACCGGCGTCCCTGAAAGTTTGCGGCGCTGCTTTGACAGTTTGGCTTGGATTGGATTTCAGCTACAAGACGAAAAACCGCGACACACCACAGAAACCGAAACGAAACAATCCGCAACTGCAGATCAACGCGCTACGATTTGTGCGACTGTGGTACAAACTAAATGTTCAATCAGCTTCTGAAAAAGAAAGAACTGTATAATATATTTGTAAATTCTTTCAATATAAAACGTACTACCACAGAATACCGTGCATCTGCCCATTCTACACTAAGCACCCACCTCTAAAATTTGAAACACCTGAAAAAAGATGCAAATTACATGTATGTGTAAATTGATGACCTCACATGCGCCCATCTCCTATTTTTTTCGTGATTATCTTCAAATTCTGAGTGGGCGCCTGCTCGGTATTTTATGGTAAGTGATGACGTCACAATATGGCGCTCTGCGCCAACAAACCGTTTCTAGGGTCGTTGTTATGGGCAAATGCATGGGGTCTCGACGTGAGGCTAGAAGTTGTCTGATAAAGAGGTTAATATATCTATATATATATATATATAGATATATATATATATTTTTTTTTTTTTTTGTAAGCATTATGTCTCTTCAAAATCTAATCATGAAGACTTTTTCTATCATCTCAGTACCACAAAGCGATGTCAAAAGCCCGTAATAAAGCCTCGGTGGCCGGGGCGGCGGAGAAAAGCTCACCGGAGATAAGCTCGCCGGAGAAAAGCTCACAGCAAAACCGGCAAATGGGGAGAAAAGCTCACCGGCCTTTGAGCGGATGCGAAGAAAAGCTTAGCGGAGTCTGCGTCAAACGTGGCAATTTAACACAATTCGCATTTGTGATTTCATTAAAATATGTCCTCTTTTTTGTAATATTCTTAAAGTTCATTGGGCATAGTGTCTCGCGGGGAAGGAGCGACCAGCCACACCGGAGTCCGGAACCCAAGGGTTTTATTATCACTTCTCTCGAACTAAAAATAACCCCGAGCATGCGCACTAGCATGGACGCTTTACAGCGGGACACGCGAGTGAGAACTGTCGTGTCATCACTACACATAGAATGTCGTACACCGGTAAAAATTACAACAATTTATTGACAACTGACAGTGCGCCGTCGGTAGCTCTGTCAAATATAGAGGTTTGTTTTTTGCGAGCTAATATGAATAGCGGTGTGTGAATAGTTTCAGCTCCAAATATTGTGTAGTGCCTAATAGATAAGTAGGCGTTTGTTGATGTAACCAGTGTGGGCTACGCTGGCTTCTTTCTGTTAATTTCACTAACAAAACTTTAGTTGCGAGAACAGCCTCGTGCTGTCGTGTTTGTCGTCTCCACTCCGTCGTCGCCTTTTGAGCGGTTTTTATCGTGTATAACGGTTACCAATTCGCCTTATTCGCTGCCCTTACAGAACACTACTCCTTATATAGGTCACGAGTAACAACGGTGCCAGTGTGCAGCTCTGAAGGCAATCCTGTGCCGTTGCCTACCGTAGAAGGGCACTATCACACAAAGGCAACGCGTGGAAACACCGGCACCAACGTCTAGAAAACGTGCATGTCCGTGGAAGAAAGAAGCCTCGATATCCTACTGACTTTTATCCTGGTTTCAAGGGTTAACAAAAGCTTCAAAGGTAATTTCAGGCACCGCGTTGTTGCACATGCACTTTCAGATTTTCGGCATTTACAGTTTTGATATTTAGGTTTTGGGCAGGCATTATTAAATTTTCGAAGTTTTTCCTGTTTTTCAAGTTCCTAATGTTTTGAGTTAGGCTTTCGTTGCTTAGAGAGTAATCCACAGAAAAAACTCGCCCGCAATTATTAATTTGGGAGCAATATACCCAATAAGCTTAACAAATATTACAAAAAAGGACATTTTATTTTTTACAAAGCTAACGAATGTTAATGATAATAAATTGATATATGTTACGCATAATATCTAACAAGCTCCATATAAAGGGAAAAAATATCGTTGACCTTGTCTCCGCATATGTACAATGGCCGGTGAGCTTTTCCCCGCATCCGCCAGTTTTGCGGTGAGCTTTTCTCCGGTGAGCTTATCTCCGGTGAACTTTTCTCCGGTGAGCTTTTCTCCGGGATTCCGGTGGCCGAGTGGGCTAGCGCACAGCAGCTCGGAGCGCGTGGAACGAAAGCTCGCGCTGCAGAAACCCAGGGATCTTGGGTTCTATCTCCACCCCTGCCCGTTTCATTCTGGATTATCTGGATGAGCATCGTACCGGCGTGTACTCGTGTACCACTACTGCGTGGTGCACGTGAAAGATCCCAGGCTAGCGGTTGTACTGCACCGGCTAAATTTCTCATCAGCAGCGAGTGACTCGTGCAACTTTGAAATGGCTGACCAACTATACACGCTGCCTAAATATCAAAGTCTCACAACCGGCTTCGCTTTGCTAGCAGACGGCACGATGGCTACGCGGTTTTGGGGGTTCTTTCAGAGGGAGTACGCGACTGCGTTAAAAGGATACTGAACCGAAATTTAGATTTCGCGAAGTAAGGCCGCAGAAGTGTTGAACGGGACGCTACGAACTCCAAAACATCACTCGTGCATTGATATCTCAAACGGATGGCCGTACTTTTGAAAAAGGAGGGCGCGATCAAGCGAGTTCTTTGACGTAACATTCTTCCGGGAGAATTTGAGAATGAGGAGAAGCGGCCTCGTTTCTCTCCTCCTCGCTTCGGTTCACCAGCTTGACAGAACGTAGCAAGGAGGAGAGAGAATAGGGATCGTGACGTGCCTCCTTCCGTGGGCCTCGTCGGCCAGGTTCAATCGCGCACTTCTTTTCCGAAAAATACGGCGATCCGTTAGATATATCGCCGTATGAGTGATATTTTTTGGTTTTGCAGCTTCCCGCCTATCCGCCCGGCCTTGTTTAGCGAGCTCGAAATTTCGGTTCAGTATCCCTTTAAACGAAGTTGGGGAAGATAGACGAAATCTCTATTCTAGGGTCAACTTTCTGTGGAATTTCAATGTCAATGCCAATGTTTTATTCAAACAACATGAAAAAAAAAAAGTTGCAAGGGGGATCGTCACAGAAAAGGCATAGATATACCTGAGAGGCGACCAGACCCCCCCCCCCCTCCCCCCCTTCCTTCCTTCCTTCCCCGAAATCATATCAGCAAAACATACAATATACCGTATTCACTGTTGTAAAGTCGCAAGTTTCATCATCACATTAATAACATAAGAAGCACTGCAACGATTTGCATTCCATCACGCAACAGAAAAAGTTCGTTTAATTATTTTATTTTTTTAACAGAACAGTCACACATATAGTGATAAAAAAAATCTATCTGTGTCAAAAATAAATCTGTCATCAACGACAGAAACTACACATTCATATTCTTCCTAAATATTTGTATAGACACACTTCCTTCGATGATAGTCATGATATGAGGACGATAATTTAGACCAGGGTTCTCCAAACTAAACCTCAACCTGTGGCTGGCCGCCATCCTTCCAGTGACGTGTCCTGCTCCGTATGTATGGCTCTGGCAGCCCGCTTCACGCAAACCCGCTGTACCGAAGCAAAAAAAAAAAAAAAAAAGAAAAAAGCGTCTAAACAAACAAAGAAAAACAAACAAAAAAAAAAACAAAGCTGCGCCGCGATGCGCACTCAACGCGCACACGACCGAAGATAACAGGAAAAACAAAAAGTATTTAGCTTTTATTTTACTTTATATTTTTATATTTTTATTTTGGGCCTCGCGTTTGCGGCCACCCCCACCGGTCCCTTAGCCAAAACGTTCGGAGACCCTTGATTTAGGAGGTCGCATATTTGGTAAGTTTGATTCTGCATGCAGTAGTTTGTGCGTATGTTTTCTTTTGCGTAGCTGGTATTCCGAAAAGTGTATAGGTGAACTTTGAAAATGTATTTTTGGACGAAGACAGTCGTTTCAAACTTGGTTTGATTATAAATTACAAGGGCCTATTTCTTTTTCATGACATTTGTAATGGTTAATATGTTTTGTGTGTGTGTGTGTTGGGTAGTCTTCTGAAAACATAATGAATCGCCTGGCAAGAAAAAAAAAATAGGGGGGGGGGGGGGTTGTAAGTGTCCCTTTAACCCCGGAGAAGTTGGCGTGGCGCCCCCTTAAGGCTAACCGGGGGTGACGTCACGGCGAGGGACAGAATGTTTCCCTGACTCGCACCGGTCGCCATGTAGAGGCTGTGACGACGTTAGCTGTCGGCGCGCTCGTTTCTATTCAATCATTTTTGTGCGCGTTTTTCGTAGGAAGTGTAAATTTTCATGCGCATGCGTAGCTGCGGGCGAAACTTCAATTAACATTTCAGGCATGGTTGACGGGGCAGGCAATGCATGAATCGCAGCTGGTATATAGAAATGAAGAAATATGGCCACAATTGCAGGAACATCACTATGCGGAGGGCAAGTTCGTCTGCTTCTTGCGCAGGGGGTAGCGGTGACGTCAGAACGCCGAGCCCTGATTGGCTGATCGCGACCCCCTATCTGAGCGTCGTCTGCTCCTTTGCAACGTCGTCTGCTCGCAACGTCGTCTGCGTCTGTCTTACCTTTCCTGCGACTTTCGGAAGTGCACAGGCCAGATTCACGAAACGATCTTACGCCAAAAATGTGCGTAAGACAAAACGTAAGAACAAATTCGTATTCACGAAATGAAATTTTCGCAAGTTTTACGCAGGTGACGACGAAATCCTACGACAGCTCCGAAGCTGTCTTACGCGCTTCTTACGATCAAATCAGCATGGCCGACAGCGCCGCGGTCGAGACGACCCACGGACGTTTATTTTTCTACGTGCGCTTCTCACGCGTCCCGACTTCAAGCAGCAAGAAAAAAAGTAAAATGTACTTGATACAGACCACGACGAACAAGAACGCTGTATCCACAAACACCCGGGAAAAGCGCCAACGGCCAAGATTCCACCGAACGCGACGAAGCGAGCACGGCAGTTAGGCCTAACAGGCACTCCGCGACTCGGCGACCGTCTGTCTGCCCACGACCGGCTGGTGTGCTGAATGGAATATGCCCGCACGACCCTTGTGAACTCTTCCCGTAT